CGATAGTCCATAACGGGCCGAAACTTCTGTTTGTTTTCCTGCAGAACGGCCATGAGGGGATTGAACCCTTTGGGGGTTCGAGCTCCTCCTCTGGGTAAGGAAGCAGCCAGCCGTTATCTATCCACATCTGGAGTTCCCGATCATACACTCATCCCGAATTTGTGCGGGAGCTGGATATTCTGCCAGTCTATTTCTTAACGTACTCGGAGGTTGGTTGCCAGCCCATTTCCAAGATGCGGTCCACCTCCGAGTGGTCTCATCGAATTCTACTTTAAAGTCGGGCTCAACAATGGTGATGGCAGCAACGACTGGTTTGACACACTGCAAGTTTTTGTTCAAATAATACAGATATTCCTCCCAACTGTTTGATGGCGTCTAGTCAGACCACAAAGTCAATGTCCAGCAGGTCTCCGTCCACGACTAGGACTCCATAGCGATGGACGGCTTTTGCATATGGCTAACACATACTCCGATTCCACAGCAGTCAAGTTTGCCTCCGTCTACTGTAAGCACGCGTGTTGATTTTCTTCCCATTTTCGACGGCATGACTTGCGGATTTGACTCATGTGCATCCTGTATCCACCAGAGCTGTACGTGGTATTCCATTGATACGAACTGTCACTATATTCAATGCGCCATTTACAAGGGTTTTATTAACAGGGAGATTGGCGCTTTTTTTTTGCCCCTTCGTTTGTTGGACAACACCAAAAATGTGCCCTTGCCGATGACATCGATAGCAAAAGATGGTCCGTCGGTACCATTTTACCAGCACCTTTGGATTGTTCACGACCCAGGATGACAAATCGCTCACCCTTTGATGATTGATCCATCACATTTATAGCAACTCGTATGCACATCTGTTTCCTTCAACTGTGCAGCCACTGCGGCCTGCTCCGTAGAACCAAAATGCACTTCTTCAAAATAAGAAAGTTCGTTCCAACACATGTGACAAATCCAGGTCTTCCATCTGGGATGACGCTCTTAAAGCTTTATCTGCATGCTCAGGCAATCCAGCAACGAATGCATACTGCAAACACTTTTCTGATACGCCACCAAACAGAACCGAGAGTCTGCGCAGTTCTGCCAAAAAAGACGTCGACCGTCTCCCTGGCTGAAACACCGTGCTGCAAACTGTTTCCACGCGGATCTAAGCCGTTCAAACGCTTTCTTTTCACAATTGAAGTCTGCGCGCTTCTGCTCAATCAATTGCTGGTACACAGCATATGCGCCGCCTGCCAAACGCATCGAATAACACCAGCATTCGCTTCACACCGCTCAACTGACATATTAGTTCCGCCTTCTCCAACCATTCCACACCGATTCTGCCCAGAATCGCTTCCGTCGAACAGTGGTATCAAAAAATAAGGCCATAACGCCGAAATAGCTTGTGACAGAAAACGGGTGGAAAAAAATTCTTTTGCGAAACAAAAACGAACGCCTTCTTGCGAACGAACAGGTTCTTAACCAGCAAACGAGCAAAACGGCACCCACGACTGCTTTGACCAACGGACGACAGACCGCAACGGCTTTTGTCGCCCAAAAAGACCCCAAACGACTCGCGCGTCTTCTTGTAGACCTCAGTCGAGTCCATTATGGTACTTTGCAACAAGTGCTCGGCGAAAACACACACACGCAGTTCGAGGACGCTTTAGAGAGAACATAATCGTTAGAAATATATATATATACATATATATATATATATATATATATATATATATATATATATATATGTATGTAACAATATGTATGTATATATATATATATATAATATGTGTGTGTGTGTATATATATATATATGTATATATATATGTATATAAATATATATATATGTATATATATATATATATATACACAATTGGTTAAAAACCAAAATCCCTTCTATGATCATAATGGCAATATTTATAAATGCAACTAATGGTGTTAGTATGGGAAATCCATTTGGTCCATGCTTCTTCAACTATTATATGTCCTACAGAAAATACTATATTTAACAGGTCCACAAACCGAAAATCTATATTTTACTACGTAGACGATATCTTTATTTTAGCTGATAACATTAAAGAAATAGAGACACTTAAGACCACATTTGAGAAAAACTCCGTCCTTAATTTCACATATGAACTTAGCAAAAAAACAAACTCCCATTCTTAGATATCCTCGTCGAACACAATAATAACATATATCATTAGGACATCATTATACAAAAAACCCACCAGCAAAAAAAGTTCTGAACCTTAATTTCAAAAATGAATGCCCACTTAGGTACAAAATAAGGGTAGTAAAAAACTTTCTAAATAGAGCCCACAGAACTCATCCTCTCGACTACTCTTTTCTCAAAGAACTTTATCTTATTCTGAAAACAAACACTAATTAACAACGGTTTCAATAATGAGGGTATAGACCAACAGCGAGTAATAACATAGCGAACACACAACTAAAATCATAGTGGTACACATTTATTAACTGAACCAAATGCATATTAATTACAAACAAGATGAATCTTCTCTAAGACGTATTATAAAAAAATACTACTCCCTATTGATCCTAATAAAAAATCAAACTTATTATCTATTATAAAAAATTTAAGACAACCAACCTTATCCTCAAAAATAACAACACACCAACTAAGTCAAAATTACAAAGAACAAACATTATCTATGAGTTCAAATGCCTTTAAGGAACTGTGTTCCTCACCAATCCGACTCATAAATAATTACATCGGTTACACAACCACATGTTTATCCAGACGTCTTACATTACACCTATCTGATCACAGTTCCATCAGAACACATTTAAACACACACTCAGATTTACCCGACACTATTAGGAACATACTAGTAGAAAACACAAATATATTAACTGCATCCACTTGCAAAAAAAAGACTAAAAATAATGGAAGCTCTAATAATAAAAAAAGAAAAAGCCAACTCTTAACAATATTAACTATGAACAAAGCCACAATGTGCTAACCGTATTCGGAAACTAAAAACATCACTACCACACACTGAACATACACAGAACACACACACTCTACTAAGCTGATAAATGAATCATCCTTGATAATGGCTAAAGATATAGCCGAAAGCGCTCGGAAATACAGAACATTCGGACAGTTCTTACACACTCTTTGTCCAGAAAAGAAAGCTCTTGTTAGAACACAAGAAAAATTAAATAAAAAACAACCGTAGTACCTTGTCTGTCGTTTTTAATGAAACATGCATAAAGGAAGGATTGCTGCCTAAATATACAAATATATATATATATATATATATATATATATATATATATATATATATATATATATATATGTATATATATATATATATATATATGTGTGTGATGTGTGTCTGTGTGTGTATATATATATATATATATATATATATATATATATATATATATATATATATATAGAGAGAGAGAGAGAGAGAGAGAGAGAGACCTCATATTCCAGCCGCCGATACAGAAATTCAAGTCTATGGGTAGTGTAGAAAACAGATAACGGAAAACTTTACACAAATCCCAATGCGCATAGGAAACGTTAAAAATGCTTTCCAGAATCTAAGCGATATAAAGAGATAGAAGGATGTCACTAGCAGTTCATTACTTTTGTTTCTCTGCAATCTGAAATCGTATTGGGATAGTGAAAATGCCTTCCTAAGTAAAGTATTAAGAAACAGACAAATTTTGTTAGGAACAAAGGAATCAATATTGAATTATTATGAAATAGCACTCCTCCTATATGACAAGGAATGCTGGACAATCTCCTCACAGATGAAAAGTCTTGAATATGGTTCTCTCGACGAATGTTGAGAACGTGTTATCTGTAGGTAGGTTTGCCTATCAATCGGTTGACACACTGTGGTAACACACATTCAAAAGAGCCCCCAAGTCGTGTGCAGACATGTTTGTCGAAGAGTATTAGTCACATCAGGTTTTTCCGGCTAACGTCAGGACAGCTTCTCCAGATCCGACTCGTTATCTGTTCTCTCATATCAATAAAAGCGACAGAAAACATATCAATCGGCTGTTGGCGAGACTCTGCTATTTCCTGAGGTTGCGTGTCTCTCGGCCGTATTGTCATTTCTGATGTAATAGCCTCATTAGTCATTTCTCATTCTGTTTTCCCCCACCATGTCTATTTCCCTTCTCTGTCTGTTACCCTATAATTGTTAAGAGTACAATCGGTTAAGTATCATCCCCCACCCCAACCACAACACACCCTTACGTTATTTCATAGGAAAGGGCTATTTTGCTGGTCCCGATATAATATATAAAAATATTTTTAAACTTATTTTATTGGGATCTTACAAAGTAACCTGAGGGTTTACCTTACGTAGACCCTCAGGTTATTTTGCCGGTAAATATTTTTATTATTATGAAGGCAGGTAATGTTAAAAATAACAGCACACAGATTTCACACAGAAGTTTATTTATTTTCACCATCAATTGTTAAGACAATTTAAAATCTTTTCCACCATCAATTGTTAAAACACAAAATCATTTATTCATCACCAATTATTAAAACAAATATAGAAGTCACTTTTAAGCACTTCAGGCATAACATTTTCTGTAAATCCAAAACCTGCCCTTGGGCATGGTTCTCTTGTAATTACACATCAGATGCACCCGACTGAAGATAATAGTTACGGACCACAGAATCCATGTTGTTCAAGTCCTGCCTCCATAGCACACACAACCACTTCGCTGATGATCTCAAATAGAATATATTCTTAGTTCTAAGACATTTAATCATATTTACCGGCAAAATAGCCGTGGTGTCTATTTTACCTGGACCAGTAAAATAACCTATTCGTATTTTATAACACATTCCTCTCCTGTCTTATGAACAGGAGTAGGGGTTCATTCCTTACTGTTTAGGATTGGGTTTCTGGTTTCTTCTAAACTTTACTTCAATACTATACTTCTGACGTCTCCGTATGGACTCTGAAATTGCATTTACTAATTATTTCCGTCCTGCAAAAAGGTTTACGGCCCCGTCACACTGAAATACCGGTTCTCATACGTTCACTGAAGTTAAGCAAATTCCTGGTCAGTATCTAGATGGGTAACCGCATGGGAATACCAGGTGCTGTAAGCTAGGATTTGTGGGTGGTGTAATGGATAATGGCTTATAATTGTTAATTGCAGAGAGGAGTTCAAATTTCAGTGGGGTTCATTAAATTCACATACACGCAAATACTTTCGGGAAAGCCATGAACCCATCTGCTCTTCCGCCAGCTATGGGTTAATTAGACTTTTATCATTATCTATAAAAAAAAATCTTACAATCTAAAAAATAAAATTTTTTAACTGAAAAGGGTTAAGTCGTAGAAAACGAATTAAATTCTTCTCAATGTGAGTGGGTAAGCTTGTCTATCGTCCAGTTCCCACTCCCATCTCCTGGTCTTTTGAACAGCAGTAAATTTATTCCTTGTTCTCTGTTTAGGATTGGATTTCTGGTTCCTTCTACAGTTATTCCATTCTCTTTCACTCCCAGTAGACCACTTGCATTTTAGTGGCATTAAATCCTTGCTTTGGTCGAATTGATTTAAAAACAAAACGAGGAAGTTTTAAGGGAAATAAACTACGAGGCAACCAATAGTTCAAATCAGAGACAGCTATAAACACGGATGTCAAAACACTTCAGAATTACGGAAAGGGTGGAACATCCGAACAGAGAGTTCCATTGATTCAAACGAACAAGGACAAATCAATTCAGTCATCTATAACTGGTTAGCGCGTGAGTAAAAATTCCTTAACGTTTATATGTTATCATTGGAGATACCGATACAATTTAAATATCTGGGAGGCGTTTTAACAGAGGTCAAAATGTGCAACACTGAAATTCGAAGACTCACTGCGATAGCGAAAGATGCCTTCCAAAAGCTAAGTAAAGTATTAAGAAATAAAATAAAGATATCGTTAGAAACAAAGAAAATAGTACTGAATTCTCATGATATGGCAGCAAATGCTGGACAATCACCTTGCAGGTGAAGAAGACACTTGAAGCAACAGAGAAGTCGTTATACAGAAGGATGCTAAGAATACCATAGACCGAACATGTGAGGGGGCATGGCACACAGAAGAACGCAAAAGAAGCAAGTATAGGGCTGGGATTAGAATATTTCGACTTTTATTAATTACTTTTGGTAAATCTTTTCCAACCACTTGCATGTTGTGCTGAATAGTATCGTCGGCCTCAAACGCTTGTGTTGTGAGGGTGTCATACTATTCAAGATTGCTTACACTCAGCTTCCAGTAGTATAGATAAATTAAGAGAGTTCGTGAATTAAGTTGTCTGAGTGAAACTTCCTCCTTACCAATGGAATACAAAAGGGATCAGTATGATTCGGTCCTGTGGACTAGTATGGCGGATTTTAGTTGTAAATGTCTGAACTGGTGAAACTAAAGAATGCAGTTCATCAGAACATTTTTCGTGTAAAGAGTAATAAGCTTGTGATATATTCGTCTCTGGGGAAGAGGTTGAAAATAATTAATTGCTCACATGGCCGCTTAAATGCTTTGGAATTTTTGGCCAGTGAGTATTAGGTAGCTCTAACAATACTCGATTCCTGTTTTGATTTGACTCTTGTAAAGACAGATGTCAGGAGAATTCCGGTACTTTCTGAAGCAGTAAAAGGAACCGACCATTTCTTCAGCATCTTATCGTTGGGCACGTCTGCGAGAAAAAGTACCATGACGCAATTCACTCCAATAGACATTTGGAAATTGCATACTGTACTTCTTGGCATTCGCGTCGGAGGCTCCAATACGAACATTTCAGTGTGTGTGGGTGTCAGTCTGGGGACAGTGCAGAAGATTCGGAAAGAATTTGATGAGTCTAATGGTGATTACGAAGGTACGGCAGCTCGCTCTTATAAGAAAAGAACTCCCGAATTTGTTGGTGAGAGCCTCAGACTTAACCCGGAAGCCTCCATCAAGTATCTTGAGGAGGTAGTGCTGTCCAGGGTCAAGAGGGTGGCTAATGGAAGACCCTATGTCTGGCAATAGGACTCTTCATCATGCCACACAAGAAAGAAAACCCAGTCATAGCTGTCAGACAATTTCTGCGACCACATTACCCTTTACATTTGGCCATCTAACTCCCCAGACTGCACCCACCTTGATTATTATGTGTGGGTCGCAGTTGAGTGAGAGACAAACAAAAATCCTTGTAACGCCAAAGATGAACTGAAGGCAAGGATTATGGCAGCATTTACCAACAAGGAGACTGTCCAGATGAGTTGCAGGATATTCCGAAGTCGTCTGGAGGCCGGCGTTATTGAATAAATTCACTCTTTAGTATTTCATGATATTTTTGTGTAATTTTTGTAAATATATATGTTAATATATATATATATATATATATATGTGTGTGTGTGTGTGAAAGAAGTAATGGTACAGAGTTAGTATTTGCATAAATGAATAAGTATTAAAGTTTTTTCCAAATAATCCTATTCGCTATTCTTCGATTACGTTAAGTTCATATATATGTGTATACATTTTTAAAAAGATCGATGGTTTTATTTCATAACATTTAAATAAATAATCTTTTAAAATTTTGCTAAGTGTGCCATTGCTTAAAATAGTTGAGAAATACTGCTGTAGACATTCGAGGTAAGAAGCCATATTGAGAGTCTGATCGTTCATTGTGACTGAAGAAACCTCGGGGTCTGCTTGGTGAACATTTTTAGTTTGGTTTTGTTGGGCTGCAATCCAAGGTTTTCGATATGACTGGCCACAGTTTTCTCGACGTTGCCTTTTCCTTGTCAGGTTTGCAGTCACTTTCATACTTGGATTCATCTTCTCTATACTTGGATTGTGATAATCTGTACAAAACATCAACTTGGTCGTCTCGTTCACTTTCACCACAGTATTGAGTAACTGAATTGATATCAACTCCCTCATTTAAAGCAGGGTTCCTTAACCTAGAAATTTCCGTCTGTCTGTCTGTCCGTCCCTGTCTCTCTCTCTGTCTCTCTCTCTCTCTCTCTCTCTGCCCACTTACTTTCCGGCATTTTATGTCATCAACACTTAAAACAAACAGAAATTCTGACCCACATTTCCATTCTTAATTTATTTCCTTGTTTCTGGTAATTCGACTGCTTTAACGAAACCAGCTCGAATGATTCATTAAGCCAGCGAGATATCAACGGACATGTTACTCAGAATTGTTAAGCAACTGCAAATCGATAATCCTCAAACTCAAGCGTGTTCAAGCCCAGGTACACTCCGGAATTTGGAATGTTCATTTTCTAAAAAAGTTAGGAAGATATATATATAAAAAGAAAAAAAAAACAAAAAAAAACTGTTGGCCTTGTCCCGAACAAAGTTAAACTTATGCTATCGTTAATTATCACCAATAGAAATTAGCAGTTCTAAAGATTTGGGTCGTATTTCTGAAGATCCGTCGCAGTCGACATAAATAAAGCAAAGTGTGTGTCCGTCCGTCGGTTTTCCAGTCTCGGTGAATCATAAATAACCTGAAGTACGAGGTAGTGATTACTGGAGTTAAACTCGATTAAAAATTAAATAACTCATTTAATAAAGTTAAATTAAAATATCGAACAGATATTTAAAAAAAAAATCCTTTATTAAAGGTTTAACTTTAATTTCGCTTTTTGTTGCAATTGCAATTGATAAACCGTAATTAAAACTTAAGCGGGGCACGGTACATTGCTCATATGTTTTTTATTTCTTTTCTAGCAAGCGTATTCAAAATATTATATAGTTCGGGTTCCCTAATGTCTTTTAAGAGTGACATTATAGAAATGGATCATAATGGAATGGAGCATGGCGATTTTAAAAGAAAATAATAATTGAGCGCAAAATAAATGTAAACAAACTACATCGATCAGTTGCATATACGAAGAAAAATTATGCCGAATTAAGGTGTCGAATAAAGATAAGATAATTTGATTATTTCAAAATTCGTATAACTTTTACGTACATAGGTCGCTGAAGGTAAAAGGTCGAAGGACCAAAGGCCCTCCACATGAGCTAGTCTAAAGTTTGCCTGACTGGTGGCTTCTAGGCTAGTACGAAGTAAATGCCAGTTTCAGTCATATTTTAAAATGCAACTACTTGCTTCTTGAAAAGAAATTAATTTTTCAAGTATTTTTTCTTCCTTTAGACTTTTATTTGAAAACTAAATTTTCCATGTGATAGGTCCTAGCCTAGTCTACAGTTACTTTCTCACAGACGTGATGTGGCTTCCCTCTGTCTTTTCTATAAATATTTCCGTGGTAACTGCTCTGATGAGCTATTTTCACTGGTTCCCAAACTGCATAAATTTGTAGCAGAGAGCAATGGTCACTCTTAAATTATTAATAATTATAGTAATATAGAATTTTGTTTATAGATAAGAAAAATAAACTGTGGTGAAGTTTGTGCCCAGAGAATCTCTACTTCGTCAGAATTATTAATATAAAATGTCAAAACAATAGTGTTTATATGAACTATGGAATACCAATTGAGAAGAAGAGACTGTTCATTTAACCATGAAGGGAGAGAGATCAGTAAGTAGGTTGTATTGAAACAATGTGAACCGAAGGCTTTGATTGAATCTGTAATATTGGACCAAGACAGGATCAACGGCCGGTCTTGTAATATTGGACCAAGACAGGATCAACGGCCGGTCTGGTAATATTGGACCAAGACAGGATCAACGGCCGGTCTTGTAGAGTACATCGATGCAGTGGGGTCAGAAATAGGTATTACAAATTTAAGCGTGCTAATAGGTTGACATCTTGGTTCCACCCTTTCACTGTCGAAACAGTTAAATGTAATCGCCTCTTCTACTGCAACAGCTTCTTCTCTCGCACTTCCCGACACTGGAACTCCCTTCCACTTACTAACTTCTCTGATAACTATAATCTTCAAAAATTTAAATGTAATGTCAATCGACATCTTCTGATGCCTTGATCCGCATTCTTCTTTTTAATGCTTTCCTCAATCTCCCCATATACCCGAATCTTATTTTCACTCTCTGTAGCCCCTTGCATACTAGTGGCACTCCAGCTTTGCTTAGAGTGAAATGTTTATAAAAATGTACCTCATGGGAAACGACGTTCAGAACAACAAGTACAAACCTACTGTTGAAGACATTGATCTGTGATTCAGGCAAATATATTCCGATTACGTGGTCTTGTTAAATTATCAAATGTAAAAGAAAGTACTGTTTCTCTACGTCAACTCGCTCTGGCTGGATAGGGAAAGACAATTTCCCAAATACGATGCAGTTGTAACTGTCTCAAATAGTCCTATACCTTATTCAGGTGGGAATAACATAGCAAACTCAGAAAATACTGTACCACAACCAGTGTCCAGTGATTCTACTAAAGGGGTTGAACTAGGAACCTGTAACTTCCGTAGCCATAACACTGCAAATATGTCCCCCCCCACGCTTAAAACTCTAAGCATATCACCAAAGAACCTAAACGACTAAAAACATTAATTTGGCTAATTTGTTTTTTCAACTGCATCGTCTTTCTTTTGCTGAAATAAATTATTCCAAATTTACATTTAAAAAAAGAGTTGGAGAGAATTTTGTATTCATATCTGCACCTTTTATAAATAGCAGTTTATATAGCCGGTGGCTAAAACTAATCCGGATCTTGAAGACTACTAGAGAAATAGTGTGAATACTTCTAGCTAATTATAGCTTACAACATAGTTTGGTTGTCTACTACACCACAGAGGTTCCATCATGGCTTGTACAGAAGTTTTGGGTCAAGCGCGACATTCTTCAGCCAGATTCTACAACTGCCAGATTCCCCAGATCTCGCCCTTTACGACTGAAGGCACACCCCGTCCTTCTCTATATCCTTTCTTTACTCTTGCACTCACTCTGTAACCTCTTGCGTGCTAGTCGCACTCTCGCCTTGCTTGGGGTGAAATGCTTAAAAAAGTGTCGATTCCAGTAATTCGGCTATAGTAAAAGTGGTGCAACTTTAACTTAAATTTAAGTATATGATCCACGTGCACGAGTCTTCTTAAATAAGCCAATGTGATCCGTACTTAAAAGAATTATCTCCATGAGGATCAGATAAAAATTAAAATTTATATTCGCTGTACAGCCTTGTGTCAATCAACAGTTTCTCATTGAACGAAAACAAAAAACAAAACAAAATGCATCTTCCCACTGCTTGAAAGAAAACACACCAAGTTACTATTCACTGCACCGACCGCTAGGCGTCTCTTGACTTGATTTTGGGTCCATGTTTACCATTTAAACGTTTTTCATCATTCTCTGCACGACCGCCATCTTTTGTTCCTCCATAAGCACAAGTGATGATTTTCATTTTCTATAGTTTATCAAGGCTTGATTATCTTCTACTATAATGGTGAGGATTAAATGACCCCAATTGTTTTCAAGCGTCGCCGGCTGAAAAGTGATGTGTGCGTGCATGTGGATGCAGTATGGAGAAATAATCGTAGAAGTGTTGTGAAAAACCAATCAGACAGTGAGTATCTGTCTGTCTATGAAGGACTCGTTCTTATAGGGGTCCGTGACTAACGGGGTCCGTACTTAATTTATTGTTATACTTCGGATGAAATGATTAAAAAAATCGATGAAAAATATTGCATGAGTCAGTAACAGGGTCTGAAATAAACCGCAAAATGATTGTTGTCATGCGGTTGGGCGCGTGGCGTGAAGAGGATAATGACGTTAATGATATCAGGTCGTGTTGGGCTGAGCCAGATAATGAGTGCGTTATTCTTCAGTTTACATTTCCCTCATTATGGGCATTATTATTCCATGATAAAATAATATCTTATGTCACGGACGGAGCGGAATAGCAAAAATAAAGGAATGACATACATGCTTTGTTCCCAGAGAGAGATTTATGCTACTAAATCCCACATAAAATTATACAGATTTATTTCACACAGAGAAACTACAACACATGTTTACATAACAAGCAGTGTGAAAAGGAAAAGGAAATGATAGCGTCTTAAATTGTAATAATTTCCAATAGGAATTGGCTCTGCCGGATTTTTCTGTATTTCTGTCCATATTTAAGATTCTAGATTCGAGTGTACCGGGAGAGGAAGATTTAGTCGCCTTTCTCCCGGTACTAAAAAACAAAAACTACTCGGTTTGACTCCTGGAAACTGACTGAAGGATTGACCACCGTCGTCACTCCATGAAGTGACGTGACTAAGCGGCCGTCACGTGATCCACGTGACTTCATCTCGACCAATGGGATATACGCACCTTTTGTATCCCCTTCACGGTTGCCTCCACCTGGAACACTTTGATTGCACGAACAGGTCATGATACTCGGCGTCTGATTTCTTTCCGACTCCCAGTTGGAGAAAAATATCATCGCAAATACTGAAGATGGTCGAGGTCGTCATTGCTCTGTGGGGTGAAACACTTCAGCCCCAACCCTCTGAAGAAGAGTGGGGATGAAGTGTTAGTCTCTCCCACACCGACACTAAACTGTCACTTGCATGATAATGGCTTTTTCAGGAAAGGTCATAACAAGAAAACCTTCCAGTTTTTAGAATAATGCATCGAAATGATGGATTGTCTCATCACGTGCCTCTAAAAGAATTGCTGCTTCTATCGCCTGGTCAGTACTTAGATGGGTGACTGCTTGCGAATAACAGATGCTGTAATTTTGCATGTGCGGGTGGTGTAATTAATAATTTCTTGGAATTGTTGATCAGAGAACCGAGTTCCAATTTCAGTTGGGTTTGTTATATTCACTTACACACAAATACCATTGGGGAAAGGAATGAATTCACCTTTTCTCTCCCAGCTATGGGTTAATTAGTAGACAGTAGACTTGTATCACGAAATCATTATCTCCCCACCTCCAAGAAAAATATTACTGTCTAAAATAATATGTTTATATATAAGCCTTTCTTGGGTAAAAATAGGTTTCCCTAGAATTCCACAATATTAACAAGAGTGAATGGAGATTTGATCTTTGTCAGAAGGACTTGTTTATTTAAGAACATGTTCCTCCTGTTGAAACGAAGGAAACTATTAAACATGCCTTCTGTCATTGCAAAACATTTTAATACATTTTTAATTTAAGTCATATTTAAATCATAAAAAAACCTTCATTTATTCTGACTAAATTGGTATAGACCCGTTGTACGTTCACAAGGAAATGAAAGAAGAAAACAAATATCACAGCAAGAAATGAGGACTAACACCTATTTCTAATACTGATTTTCTTGGGGTACAAAGCCGAAAGTATGGGGCATCCATTGAGGATCGAACTCAGTCGTCATTATTTTAGCGAGACAAGCTTGCATCACGCCGAGGTGCCCAAAACTGTTTCCGATGTAGTTAGGTGTTTTATTCAGGTCTTCACTTAGTCTGTTTGGGTGGGTAGGTAGGTAGCATTTTGGACACCTTCTGCAATCTCGTGTTAATAGATAGACTCACCCTCCTACCAATTCTCTGCCAATCTCGATATCAAGACGCGTGGCTGGCAACACGAACGGGAGGTATTAGAACTATCTGATGACCAGTTGGACCAGAACTGACTTCTTCAATCCCAACTGCGACTGTTAATATAAACTTGTGACTGGAAATTCTCAATGTCTGGCTTTGTTTTCACTTGACCCTAAGTATTTTCTTCTATTTATTTGTTTATTCGCTTTCGGTCAATTGGGTGCCACTCAGAAAACCAGTCTTCAAAGACTGTCCACCGACCATGAAACACTTGAGACCGAGATAAAATCATACCTACCTCCACTATGTGGATGATCCAACAATAGTGTCACAGAATTACCATCTGCTTGTCATGATTTCCTACATAACAATTCCTGGGTAAAATTATCAGTCATTAAAAGCGAATGATATATAATTATAGCCAATGAAAATGATAATGGTTAGTACCTAATGAAAAAGGAGAATTCACTCCCAAACCATAAATACACTTGAAAAAATGTTATACATTGTGCTTATTAATATGTTCATAGTGTCATCTATCATGAAGTGCTAAACGAAAATGAAACAGTTAATACAGAGAAGCGATGAACACAAAATTGCAGAAAAACCACCCGTCTTTAGTTAATTGTAAAGTCGTGTTTCTCTTTTAGCTGTCCGCTAACACTTTTTCATCAATGTCGATTTTCGTGCAAAAAAGCGGATCACATCTTCATACATTTTTCTGAAAACCTAAGCTTCTCATTGGACAATAAATATTAAAATTATCTCGTATATGTTCACGTGCATTGTTCTCAATAAGCAACACAAAACATATCAGGCTCCAGACTGAGTTTTGTAAGGCGCTTTCTGAGTGGTTAACAGATATTAAAAAAACAATTTACCTGCTCACCACTACGTCCGAATAACGTCAACATAGTTTTTGACCTGACGAAAAAACAATGCTTATTGAGCCAGTCACGTGATTAAAAAACATATAAATTGTAGGTACGAGCGAACCCAGTCAGTGAGAATTTACGACGACTAGAATTTGCTAAACGAGTTCACGACGCTTGAATCATTACTACAGTGAAGTACCAAGTTAGGACCTCAAGTTTTTTAACATGAAATAACTTCACTGAAATTCAAACTACAATTTAAACGAAACAACTCACTCACTAATTTCTACAACTTATAATTACGTTATTGAATCTTACGAAAAATAAGTACGAACAATACATTTGTTGGTATTGCTATGGGTTTGTATTTGGTATCAGAAGGTTTTTATTTTTAGATGGTTAGTTTACGGGCATGTTCAAAATATTTATCCGCAACAATATAGATAGACATAAAAAAACGAATCAATCAACAGCCAAGTGAGTAAAGAACACCGATTACACCAGATTTCAATAGAACAAAAATGCATTTATGTACAAATATACAATTTTTGAGAATAAAATTGATTTGAACTTAAATGGACAAATTAAAATAGGTGTATTTGGCTGTGTAGAATATTATTGTGAATGTTTGAAGGTGTTTGCAATTGCTATTCAGATTTGTTCACAGAATTAAACTAAGTGTCCAGTTACGTACTAAATTGTCCTTTGTGCTAGTTCAGTTATTAGTGTGTGTGCGTAAGTATGTTTGTATAATTGGCAGGAGTTGCGTACCTTTAGTTGTGTGAGAATTTGATTGTTTGTTTACTAATACTTATTAAGTAGTGAGAAGAAAATATCACTTTTCAAAGTATTGTTGTAATTGATGTTCTTGAGAGAGATGGAGTGTGTTTGTGGATTGTTGAGTCAGATATTTTGCGCGGCAAAGTCCTGGTTGGTCAGAGTTTTGACTTGCATGGGTCAGTCTGGTATCTCTCTAGGAATGTAGATCTGACTGGTGAATTGGACTGAAATTCGTCCTTTTATTTGATTTGGGAAACCAAAGTAGGCTCCCAGTGGCTTGGCGGGAAAACAGATTTTTGACCATGGATACACATTCTAGGGTCGTCTCGACCAATAACAAGCCGAGTTTCACAATGTGTGGTGTTGATTGGTCAAAGCTAATTCTTATAGAAGAGTCTATTTTTAATGGGGATGAGTAGACAAACATTGACGATTCTATACATTCAACTACGAGCAACGAAAACAAACGGAACATTCACTTCTCCAACTTCTTTAAAGCTAAAAGTTTATCAACATATTTTCAGCTTTACAAGATTCTCTTTCAGTGAACATTTTGAACGACAAGTTAATTCAGTTTTTGTGAGTTCCGATAAAAAAAGTTTTTTTAGTAAAAACTTTAGCCCAGTCAAAGGGAAGTAACTCATATTATTGTTATTGTAAAAACTGTTGTCATTTATATAAATATTGTACCTGTTATGAAAAGTTACTTTCATGTGTTCTTTCTCTTGTTTGCTTTTTATTTTCTTACACATTCGTAAAGTAAAAAAATGTGTGGGTTGATTTATGCCGTCAATACCACTACACTCTTATATGATAATATATAGAGGCGTGGAGCTTCGGGGTTAAAATGAACAATTGATTTATCCGCCCCAGGAATCTTAATGGAGGCTGATAATAACGAGAAACACACGGGACGTTTTAACAAAACAAGATAAGGAATTTATTTACAAATTTACTCGTTTGAAATCGTGTCGGTCAAGACTTGACTTCTTCAGTCCCAACTATGACTGTTAATATAAACTTGTGACGAAATTCTTAATGTTTCAGGAAAATCAGAAATGTTAAAAAGTCAGTAATTTCAATGAATTGTCATGAAGGGGAAATGTTCATACAACAACAGATTAAATGATATGACACAAAATAATATTAAAAAATGTTTCAAACAAAGGTAAGAGATTTAGTTATATACAGAAGGGTTTTTCGGTTGAATACATTCAAAAGAAGTCGGGGGGGGAGAGAGAGAGAGAGAGTTTTTAGATTGTGAAAATAAATTTCTTTGAAGTTCCAAGTGTTTGGTTAAAGCCAATGATATAATTGGCGAGTAATTTTACACTGGCGAAAATTTGAACGCTGAATGCATGAACAGAAACGAAACTTTTGACATAACTTCAGACACTCTTCTCTTGTTGATTTAATTTTTTCCTTATTTTATATCAAAAACAATTTCGCATAGGGTCACTATTTTCTTTTTTCTTAGACTCATCGGCTAATTTCTGTGAAGTGGTTTTTGATTGGTCCAAAGAAAATTTCACATAGGTTCAGGAATTTCTTTTCGTTTTTTTTCCTCAGCTCGTTTGAATGTGAAGGAAGTGAGTAAAGGGAGTTATTATTATTTCGTACTTACCACAAATACGACCATGTATTACCTGAGTCACCCAGGAAAAGATTATCGCACTCAATATGGAAATTTCACTTCATCCTTCTCATTCTTCTGACCTTGTTCCATCTGAACGTCATCTTTTCAGAACACTGCTTTTTAGATGAAAAACGGTTTATAAAGTGTGAAGAAGTTAAAACTGATATTGACAGTGTCTTTGCATCGAAAACTGAAGTATTTTACAGCTGAGTACCCAAAAAACTTTTCAGATAGTTCGGACTATGTTATCGATAACGAGAAGAAATATTTGCTTGATTATATCAATTAAAAAATCGAAGAAGCATTTTTTTCTTTTCTATCTTCAAATACAACAGCTTAGCATATGCGTGTGTGTGTGTCCTATAAGTTTGTAACACTGTTTTTATTTTCTTTGTCCAATAAAGAAATTGTTAATGCCAATTATTAAAAAGAGAAAAACGTCGAAACTATTTTATGATTTTTTCTGACAATTTCTGTTTCTGTTAGACTCTCTCTCTCTCTCTCTCTCTCTCTGCCCACTTACTTTCCGGCATTTTATGTCATCAACACTTAAAACAAACAGAAATTCTGACCCACATTTCCATTCTTAATTTATTTCCTTGTTTCTGGTAATTCGACTGCTTTAACGAAACCAGCTCGAATGATTCATTAAGCCAGCGAGATATCAACGGACATGTTACTCAGAATTGTTAAGCAACTGCAAATCGATAATCCTCAAACTCAAGCGTGTTCAAGCCCAGGTACAATCCGGAATTTGGAATGTTCATTTTCTAAAAAAGTTAGGAAGATATATATATAAAAAGAAAAATCCAAAAAAAACCCCCCAAAAAACAGTTGGTCTTGTCCCGAACAAAGTTAAACTTATGATATCGTTAATTATCACCAATAGAAATTAGCAGATGTTGTAAAGGTTTGGGTCGTAATTCTGAAGATCAATCACAAAAGGAAATAAATATCAGTTTCAGGTAAGTCATATTCTAAAATACATCTATTTGCTTATTAGAAAAAAAAATCATTTTTTTAACTCTTTATTTTTCTTTCTTTAGACACTTCTTATTTGAAAACTTAAGTTTTCTCCAAGTGCCGATTCCAATAATTCGGTTATAGTAAAAGTGATGCTATTTAAACTAAATAACGTGTATGATCCACGTGCATAATTCAGCTTAAACAAGCCTCAAAGAAAATTATTTACATGCGCAAGAAAAATAGATGAGCACCTGTCCAAGCAATACAATTTCATCTAGAGATTTCATTTGCTGGAAAATTATGCTATCCGATGACTAAAATTCATTTATTGCCTATCTGATACTCAAACTGTTTTTACAGACAATGATAAATTAATTAAAAAATGAATAATATCCTTCAGTTTTTTTTTATTATATGATAAGCCTTTTTAGTACTCGCATATTAAATAAAGACTACTACTTTTTTGTTTTATTCCGTATAAATCTACTAAAGAATCTTTGCGGGGAAAGGTTTGTCCCAGCTTTCCCGCATCCGGAAAAACCGTTGAAATTGCGACAAAACGCGAGTAAAAAAACATCAAGATTAGTGCGGACAAACTCTCTCTTTTTAGGCGCGGACGAATAAAGAAAAAAATTCCTGCTCGGTGTGTAACAATAAAAGAAGAAAGTGTTTATTTACATATACAGAAAAAAAGGGTAAAGGGATAAAGACAATTAAGAGTGAAAGAAAGGGAATAGAGAAAATCTCCTTTAAGGAAAAAGAAAATGTTCATAACAGAAAAAAAGACTTGCTCAAAATATTTCTCTGAGCGCCTAAAAACTTCTTTAAGCAAGTAGAATTTTGTTAAGGTTTAGAAACCCTCACAGTTCTTGTAGAGTAGGAAAATGTTGGTAGATATAGGAATCTTGCAGTTAAGTGAGTTCGTAGGTCGACGACAGAATTCCAGTTAGCACGACAGAAGGAGTGGTGAAGGGATGCAGCTTTGAATTGGTCTTGAATTGTGGGCCGACGTTCATTCTCGACAGCCCTTAGGTAGCTCTTTTTTGGTTGAAAGTGGTTCTAAAGTTGATTGGTGCTTCCTATCGTCGACCTCACAGACGGTGGTCGAATTTTTATCTGTCAAATAGGCGTAGATTCTCCAAATTTATGGAGATTTGGGAGGCTCAGAAGGATCGGGGACTTTTCCATCCAAAATCGTTGTACAAATTTCCTGGCCCCTCTATTGGTCAGAAAACACATTCTTCTCTTTGATAAGAATCAGGGCTCTGGGGTCCGCTTTTGAAAGTAATGAAAACTGGTTGGAGTGAACAAGCTGTGAGTTTTCCTCCAGGCTTTATGACACCATGGAAAGAATAATGGTGGTGGAATTCCTTTTTATATTTTCCAGCTCTCTCGTTAGTCAGAAAATATATTCTTATCTCTGATAAGAATCAAGCCTTTGAGAGTCGGTTTTGAAAGTAAAAAGTGGTTGGAGTGAGGATATAAAAAATAGCGAGAATGTGAACTTATAAAATATTGTTCTCAAATTAAATTCCAACATCTTCTCAGCTTATAGATAACATATTTTATTTAGTAACTCTTTGTTTTGGAAGATCATACTCGAAAGGTAGATCACCTACTTAAGTAAGTAGCACTCTAAAAGTTGCCTGGACACGACACATTTAAAGATCTAATATTTATTCAGTGACAAATTCTAAAATTTAATAATCGGTCACGTTAAATTTCGATATGAAAATGTATTTTTTTCTGTTATTTCAAATATCAAGATTTGACATACTGAATATTGATTTTATTTTTACTTTTTAGCGACATTTTCCTTGATTCTGCCATGTTGATATTTTTTCCTTTTTTGCGGCCTTTTCCGTGTCTTTGATTCGCTATTAAAATAAAATTGTTAAATTTTGAGTATTTCAGCAAGATCTTTCTCTTTCTTCGATAGTACAACCAGCTAAATGCCGATTCTAGTATAAAGTTTTACTTATAGAGACGAAAAAATATTCTTATCAACACTTAGGTTTTTTTTGCAATATTAAAAAAGTATAGGATCTTTTCTGATAATTCACCCCAAATAATGTAAAGTTACTTAACGCAAATATTAATTTACCCCAAGAAATTATAAATTTTAAAATGAAAGTTTGATTGTTTTTTTTCATTAAGTTCTTGGCACTCTTTTGAAATTATAAATTAGCTTGTTTTTGATTTGTTTATTGGAGTGAGCGCGAATGCTGACCCCACACTGAAAAATAGCACACCAGAGTTGCCCACATTTGGGGCGATCGCATAGGTCAATCCAAACGGAGTATACGGTTAATTCTAAGATATGCAAATTTTAAAAAAAATCTCTTAGAAATCTAATATTTGCTTTGGAGATGTGTTTCGAAGTCAATAAGTAAATTTATGGATTGATTAACTAGACTTTGTAAATATATTGAAAATAACATTTATTTACACAAGAACTACAGAAGGTAGTGAAGGAAAGCAAGAATAAAGGACTAAGCACCAACTGTCAGCAGACACAATGTATGGTTGTTAGCAAAAGGAACGCCGCTAACATGCAAATTACAAATTGGAGATACTAAAATCAAATAAGTACAATTTAAATATCTGGGGAGCATTTTAACATAGGACGGAAAGTACAACACTGAAATCGGAAGGCACATTGGAATAACGAAAGATGCCTTCTAAAAGGAAAGTAAGTATTAAGAAGCAGGAAAATTTCACTAGCAATAAAGAAAACAGTACTGAACTGTTATGTAATATCAGTTTTCCTATATGGCAGTGAATGCTGGACAATCTTCTCACAGATAAAGAATGGACTTGATGCAACAGAAACATGGTTCTACAGAAGAATGCTGAGAATACCATGAACCAAACATGTGAACAACGACAAAATTCTAGTGAAAATGAACAAAAAATGACACTAATACTTAACTACAGGAAGAGACGGTGGAAATTTCTAGGACACATAATGAGGAAAGAAGACTTGGAACACATCTGATGCTTACAGGACGGATTGAAAGCAAGAGAGATGGCGGAGGAAAACAACGCATAACACAGTGAACTTGAATAAATGGTGTAGGAGTGATAACAATAGAAAAGACAGAATACGGGCTATAAAAAGGACAGGATATTGTGGAAGCCATGATCGCCAACGTCCTGAAGGGACACGGCATATTGAAGAAGCTTACATGTGGCACAAGTCTGTCCTGTTATTTTTTACTCATAGCTAGGGCGGGGAGAAGAGGATTCATACCTTTCCCAAGAGTATTAGTACGTAAGTGAATGTAATGGATTTGAGTGGAATTCGAAGCTCATCCGTAATTGATCTCGCTAGACAAACTTGCTAAGCATTACACCACGTTGAATTGATCATTCCATTCAGTGAAAACATCGAGTAAACTTACTTAACGACTTTCATTGTTAAGTTAAAAAATAAGGAAGCAGAGAGAATGTTATCTCGAAAAATTAGAGTTGAAACGACTACTTCAGCTGGATTTCTTTTTTCAGTTTTTCTTATATGTGAAAAAAAAAAAAAGAAAAAAAAAAGAAATATTCCAGTGAGCCGTTAAATGTATTTCTTCTGTTTCATTTCGCAGAAGTGGAATACAATAAAATATAAATATATTTCTGTCTTTTCACGTATGTAGGCGATCATGGCTCTCCACACCTTCCTTTCCTTTATTATTATCTATGAATTGCCTCGTTCATTTGGAAAAGATATTGGAGAAGTTTCCTGTTGTCTGCTCCACGGTTAGGAATTCAGAGTTTTTCTTCTCCGGCTACTATCCAAAGCTGTTTAGTTTATTGTTTACAGAACCCAGAAGAAAAAAAGAAAGAAAAAAAAAAAGAAAGAAAGAAAGAGACGTTTATGCCTTTTCAAATTTGGTTGTACCGTTGTATATATGTGTGTGTTTGTGTGTGTGTTTGTGTGATCTTTTCTGTTAATTCGCACCCAAATATAAAAATCCCCCAAATATTAATTCCCCCCAAATATTAATTCACCCCCAAATAAAAAGAATTTATTTTATATCTACTAAAATTCACTCCCTGAGCGAGGCCCTTCCATTGCATTCTGGTTGTGCTGATATTTGCTATCGCCCCAAATGTTGGCGAATGGGGTGCTCTATTTTTAAGTGCGGGGTCTGCATTCGCGCTCACTCTGATAAAAGGCCCAAAACAGATTTTTTTTTTTTAAATTGTAAAAAAATCCTTGTAAGTACCCCGAATATCAGCCGTACTCATAAAATAAGAATAACTCCCTGATTTTTGGTAATTATTCATTGACGCTTGGAGTTGTTAACGAGGCAAGCTAAACAAATTTTAATTTAAAAATTATAATTTAATTTCATAAGAGTGTCAAAAATTTAATAAAAACAAACATTGATTTATAATTTCTTGGGGTAAATTAATATTTGTGATAAGTAACTTTACATTATTTATTATGAATTAACAGAAAAGATACGTTGTGTTTTTTAAAATTAGTTATTCAAAATTATTATTTTTTTATTTTTTTTTTTAAAATGAGCTTTTTGAATTAAACTAAAAAAAAAAACAAAAAAAGGACATCGTCAGGTTTAGCTAAAACAATAAAATCTACAGAGGTAATGGCTCAGAAACAAAATAGCATCCCTCTCCAGAAAGACCTTTCGTAGAAGATAATTCTGATCTCACAGAATTCAAAGTTTAAAAATTAAATTAAGTACATTACTTATCATTTTTACAGTGTTTTAATGATAAAAATGGTTACTCTTCAAAAGAAAGGTGTCTATTTTATAATTAAAGGGCCTTAACAACATAAGATACACAGATGATTCAGTGCTGATAGTAGACACGGAAAGGAAACTACTAAAAAAAAACACCTACAGAATGTAGCCAAGGACAGTGAGAAGAAGGGATTAAGCAAAAACAATAAGACAGAATGCTTGAAAAAAAAAAAAAAAAAAAAAAAAGAGCCCGAAATGTGATTTACGGGTGGGGGACACTAAAACAAGCAGGTGTGGAAATTTAAATATCTGTTCTGACAGAGGACAGTAAGTGCGACGCTGAGATTTGACGACGCATTGGGATAGCCAAATAAAGACTCATTCCAAAAACTAGGCAGTGGTATTACGAGACAGGAGGATTTCGTTGGTAACAAAGGAAAATAGTACTGAACTGTTTCGTGATATCTGTCAAGGATGCTAAGGATACAATAGACCGAACATTTGAGCAACAATGAGGTTTTGGAGAGGATACAAACAAAGAGGAAACTTATACTTAACATAAAGAAGAGGCAGCTGAAAAAATCTGATACTCACAGGACGGATAATGGGAAAGAGGGAAATACTTAAGGTTCTTTAAGCAAGTGGATGGCAGAAACAACGTCTGAGAGAAATAACAAAATGACAAAACTTATTTAGACCTACAAGACAGGAAGAAGTGGAGAGCCATGATCGCCTACGTCCTGAAGGAACATGACACATAAAAGAAGAACTATAAAATAAAAAAAGTCTGATGAAATAACTAAACGAATTAGCATCTTTATTAGATAACCTATTACCAAGGAAGTATTCCTTTTGCACTCCCAAACAAAGTTGCGGTTGTTGAGTTATAATATGACACTATAAATAAATTACTTAAACATTTAAGAGAACTTGCAGTCTTTTGTTTGGTTTTTCTGAAAATACATTTCCGAGAAATTATTTGTTTTTCAAGGATGTAAATTACAAATGACCTATTTCAGTTATTTTAATTATTGAACCTATCCCAGTTCAGTTTGGAAATATGGCAGTGGACTCTGCCAAATGTAACTGCTGACTGAAAACAGTAAAAATTGATTGAATTACAACTGTTAAAGAGATGTTCCAAATCCAAGCATCAAGTATACAAATTGTAGACACAAAATGACTTCAATTGCTTTATACCCAAATAATCTGTATCAGCACTGATGGTGGTTGTAGTGGTCATCATCATCATCATCATCTAAAAAGAAAAACTATTTCTGTGTGCCGTGTCCTTTCAGGGCGTGGGCGATCATGGCACTCCATAATTTCCTGTCTTTTGTAGCTCTGAGTAAAAGTTGTCTTTTTGCTACCACTTAATCAAACATTGACAGAATCTCGTTAGGTATGGGTTATGCGTTGATTCCTCCATCCCTTTTGTCTTAAATATGTCTTGTGAGTGTCAAATTTTCCAAGCCCTCTTTCTTTATTATGTGCCCTAGAAATTTCAACTACTGTAAACTGTGACATACTAGTCAAGTTTTCAAGCCTAAAAAATCTTTTTGGGGTCACAGGTCATTGGTAACCTACCATATATTTGAGTGTCAACCAATACGTTAAATACAGGCCTACCTCTTGAGGTTGACTTTTACACTGCAATTTTCAAGGACAGAATATATCTACTGTTAACTGGAAATGGATTGTTGTATGTATGTAGTTAGAATTATAGAATGTTTAGGTTAGGTGTTCAGGTGGTATAAAGGGTTTATGGCCATATCACGTTGAAACATCAATTCTCATATGATCACAAGAGTTAAAGTTCCAGTTGGGTTTGTTAAATTCACTTACATGCAAATACCCTTAGGAAAGGTAATGAATGTACCTCTTCTCCCACCAGCTATGGGTTAATCAGTAAGACTTGTATCCCTAAAACCACTATTATCTCTGCCCAAAAAATAAAATTGTGAATGAAATATTTAAATTTTTGGCATTAAATAACCCATTGAGCTGTTGATATGCAACTAAACAAAAATGAACAACCAATCAACTAAATACTACCCTCCCCCCACAAAAAACCCCCAAAACTTGTGGATCATCTTGTTCTAGATTTCATGGTTAGAGGAAGTGATAAACTTTATTATACAGCAAATTTTCATTTAATTAATTAAAAAAATTTTTCTCTAAGGACTAACATTTGCAAAAACCCACTCACTAAATTTACAAATGATTGTCTGGATCATAAAAAATTTAAGAGTATTTAGTTTTCAAATTGTTTTTGATTCTCCTGTGACATTAGTCACATCCGGGTGCCTTTCTCAAAATTTGTGTAGACTTGTTTATACATTCTAACATTAAGACTGAAAGAAAATATGAAACCTTTTCAACAAATTAGAATTTATTTATTTTAAGAAAAATGCAATTGTCACTCTTTCCTCAACACAAGAGGAGGTTGATTTTTCATTTTTTTTTTGTGTCATTATTTTATCACATCAAACCCCAAATCTCAAATGAAGTGCAATACCACAGTTCCAAAACCAACCTGCTTTATTGCACACTTCAATGGATAAAAACTGATATTCATAAAGTAATTGTGAGTTGTGATGTGGGGTCTAGCAAGACACAACACTTAACTTGACTGAATCAGTCCTGATAGTAGTATTTAATACACAGCTAGACAAGTCACTGCAATAATATTATTTTCTTTCTTTCTAAACAATTACCCAGGGCTATTTACTATCATGAATAGATCAGTCCATTCATGATAGGAGGGTAGCTGGCTCTTACCACAACAGTGTGATGTAATGAAATTTACTTGGCCCTCATGGTTACTGTTCTTTTCCCCTTTCTGTGATTTTCAGGATCTAATAACAGAGTTCAACAGAAAAATATATATATAAAACTAACAACTTCACAAATGATATCAACAACAATAAATATGAATATTACAGGTTAGTGGTCATTTTCTTTCTTTTCTTCCTGTAAAAAAAACTTACTATTCAAGATTGCTACTTCTTAAGTGATTTTTGAAATAAATTAATTAACGAGACTGGTCCACTCATAAAAAAAACAATTTTTACAAATTAGCATATTTAGACCTTCCTCAAGCTGTGACATTTGACAAAATGAAAAAATAATGATTTTTATTGATTTAGAAAGCAGGTTCTAGTTTATAATATCAAAACATTTTCAAATTGATCCCTGACTTTTAGTGAGTTAGTTACACTTGGATTTTTTTTTCAAAATGTTGTGCCTTGAAAATCTACTTACATCATTGATATCAGCATATTTTTAATACTTTTATTAATTTATGTAAATTTTTGTTCTTTAATTAAGAATACAACACTACTTTAACAGTGTATATATCTTTTTCTTCTTTAATGACAAAATGTCTTTGTAAAAGAATGAAAAAAGTTAATTTCTCAAACAAAAAATATTTTCTTAAAATAAAACACATAAAGATATAAAATGTACATATTCATTTGTTCTTTATTTAAAAGAAATTGTAAAAAAAAATTTCTTTTTGTATGTAGATATTGACATAAGCACAGTTGCAAACTTGATATTTCTAAACAAATGGCTAATTTCCAATAACGCTGTAAAAATCAGGGCTTGATTTCACACTATATTGATATTATGAACAAGACCCACCCCACCTTCTAAGATGATAATAAATCAATATTTTTCAATTCTGACAAGCGTCATGGATGAAGGAAAACTGAATTAAAGAAGGTTAATCTATAAAAATTATTTCCTCCCCACATATTTATTTTTTTAATTTTTTATTTTTACAGGTAGCTGAGTCTGTATTCCTTGTAATTTCAAAACTCATCTCTTTATCTTTTTCATGTTGAGAACATATGATGTGATAGCATTGTTGTTATGATAGTGTTGGGAATGTTATTTTATATAGGCTCCTTACTTCAAGGAACTCTCAAACATAGATACAAGGTAATAAGGGAAATTCTAGGGGCTACTGAGTAGAAATAATTGCAAATAATTGCGAATTGAACTTCATTTGCATCCAAATTATTTCTACCCAATAACTCCTAGAATAGTTTGAAACATAACCCTTACACCGACCCAATCACTGTTAGAATAATACATTAAACCTACCCCCATTGACCAGCATATATAAATATTTGAGTCAAGACACAATGGTCATGACCTGAAGATTGTGTTTAAGCATGAAACAGACTATAGTGGCTGAATGTTGACCTCAGTATCCAATTTTATATTTATATTTACATACGCTCTATCCCTGATACTGACCACTTCAACCCATAAATAAAGCATACCTTAAAACTATATTTTTATCATATATATATAGATATATACATTGTATACAAACCATACAGAAATCCAAATAATAGCCCAATATTTATTAACATAAATTCCAAACAACCCCTTACAATATTCAAACAAATACACATCTATACATCTTTCCGCAAATTGTAGTAACTTAGAGATATTCAATGAAAAAAAACATACAAATCAGCTCTAAGAAACAGCAGATATTCAAACAAACTAGAATCTAAAAAGGAAAACAATACAGATAAAAACACCATAAAACAATATGATTTTGTTCAATCCAACCTATAACAATATAATAAAAGAAGCAAAATATTTTCAAACTACATCCTTGTGCAAATTAATTGAAACAACCACTTTCTTTCACCATACAGTTAGTTTTAGACCCACTGGAGTGACAGGGTGTAATTGAATTCTATTTTTGCCTCAGATTAGGTTGTTTGCAGTGGTGTGCAGTAATAAGAATCTATTTTGTATGTTAAAAATATGTTTGGCCTTGAAAAATATTGCATCATCTATGATTGCACCAGACACTATTGTCTCGACTGTCAATTAGTTGTCCTAAGGCCATTGTCTGCAATGGATATTACTCTAAAGAAGTGTGTGAAAATTGTAACACTGCACAAACACAATGACAAGCCTTACCAGTGAGTAAATCAAAGTACTATATATATTCGCTTCGAAACTCTCTCTCTCTCTTCGTGAAATGGGCATACAAAGTAATAACATGTGCACTTGGTTATATTTCATAGGAGAAATATGAAAAAAAGTAAATAATAACATAATAATTCATTTTGTTTCAATTAATTTGCACAAGGGTATAATTGACAAACTTTTCCCTAAAAACACCAAATTATCAAAAATTATGAATAAAAATACAATCAAAATTAGTTACAGCTGCATGGATAACATGGAAAAAATAATAATTAACCACAATAAAAATATTCAACAAAATCCATAACAATAACAGCAATAATAATAATAACAAGTGTTATAAAAATAGCCATCAGCACAATAATACCATCAAATATAATTGTAAAAAAAAAATTGCCCACATAATAAGAATTTATTAATAATATAATATACAAAGTTACCATAACTAATAATACTAACACAGACTAAAAAGTTTATATAGATGCTACAGAAAAAAACTCCAAAAGAGAGATATTATAACCACAAAATGTCCTTTGGCAGAGAAATATATGCCACCAACACAACCCTATCAAAATATATATGGACCCAAAAAGAAAACAATATCCCCACCAAATAGAAAATTCTAAAAAGGGCACCCCCCCATAGAGCTTTTACAAGAAATACTGCAAACTATGATGAGAGGAAAAATTACAAATAATTACTTTTAGAAACCAAAACAAACTACTAAATAAGAAAAATGAAATAATAGGTAAGTGCAGACGCGGCAAAAATTTAATTTTTATTAATGGTTAAATGCATTAATTTAAAAAATAATTAAACAAAAAATGAATAAAAAGGGTATATCTATATTTCGTAAAAAACTATAACTTAAGAAAAATCCAGAACATCTGAGAAAATGAATTACCCCCCAAAAGTCTAGAAAAGCTTCTGTTTGTGATACTAGAAATGACATTGTTAGATTATCTTTGACACTCAAAGCTAAAGAGAGAAAATAAAATAAAAGGAATGGAGAGAGTATAAAGCAACAAGAAAAGGAGGAAAAGGAAATGTGTTGGCTAAGATAAGTTTCCTTTTGTCTTTATTCATACTGTCCTTTTACACATGTACTCTATCTGAAATTTTTACACACAAACATATATATATATATATATATATATAATACATAAATGTTAATGGTCAGAATTGAATCAGACCACGAAACAGTAGTATTAAAAAGTGCTCAATACATATGTGAAAAAAATAATAAAATGTAGAGTTTTAACTTTAAAAAATAAGAAGATCACTTGAATCAGCTACTTTGGTTTAAACCTTGTGGTATCCTCAAGTGATTTTTATCAATTGACATCACAACACCTTATTTTTTAAAAAAACTAATGAATGTTATATTTCTATCACACCCAAAATTGTGCATTTGTTATTTTTTAAAAATAATATAATGTTCATTAGTTTTTTTTTTTAAAATAAAGCGTTGAAAGGTCAATTGATAAAAATTGCCCAAGGATAATGTAAGGTTGAAACCAAGGTAGGGGCTTCAACTGATCTCCTAATTTTTAAAGTTTTGTGTGTGTGTATATATATATATATATATACATAGGTTAATTAATTTGAAACTTTTAAAACCATTTATTTTACATTCAACATCATCACGTGATAAGACACCGGAGGTGTTGAAACAAAATGGCTATTTTTGTAGTGATTTTATAACATATTTATGTTATAATTTTTTTAAATAAATAATTATATCTGCTCTACTCTGTATTGAGCACTCTTTTAAGAATAGTAATTGTTGTTTATTGGAATTCATTCTGTATACACCCATATACTTGTATATATATATATATATATATATATATATATTTATTAAAGGAACAAATCTGTTGGTATATAATCCAAGTAGATCTTAGTAATATAAAATATTAAAACTGATCCACAGAAAAACTCAATGTATTTATTATTACAGAGAAAATAATTAATAAACAATAAAATCCAAAATCACATCATATTGTGAATAGCCTATTTTGGCAGACAAAGATATCGGTCATCTGTCTTATCAACCCCAGTGTGGACAGCATTTTTTTAGTTTTCACAGTTAAATTCCTATTTCTGGCATGAAATCAGTCCACACTGTGGATGATTAGACAGATGGCCAATATCTTCATCAGCTGAAATAGGCTATTCCCCATAGGAGGTGATCTGGGATTTTATTGTTTATTAATTATATATATATAATATTATTATTATAATATTTTTATTATAAGAGATTGTAATAAAAACAATACTATGATTGTACTTCATCAGGTGGTGATTGGTAACTTATGACTTAAATCATAAGTTACCAACCATCGCCTGAGGAAATACAATTATAGTATTAAAACATGAAAGCTTTTGTGTAGCAATGAAATAAGTTTTTATTATAATCGCTTATAATAAATATATTATGAGAATATTTTGCTCTACTTTGTACTGAGCACTTTTTTTAAAAAGTAAATGCTATGAACTGTGGTTTTTTACTACATCTTTTCTTTCTCTTATTTGGAGATATATGTATGTATATCCTAATAATAATATATGTATCCTGATATTAATATATGTATCATAGTCAGACTCAGCCTATATATAAACTTGCATAAAATAACTGAAAATTTCTATTTTTTTTCATTTTACTTATATCAATTTGTGATTTATTTTTTATTTTTTTATTTTAATATTTTTTTTTATTTTTAAAGCTTTTTTTTCCACCCACACCTAATTTTGTAGCAAGTATTTATATACAATATACAATTTATATACAATTTTGAAAAAACAATTACCTTTTTAGCTCTTGTATATAAACACTTGTCATAAAATAAAATACTTGCATTTGTCATGATAAAGTCCCTCAGAGGACAAAACCTTTTTTTTTAAAAATATTTTTAATATTTTTCTTTATTTTTTTCAAGCGTTTCCTTCTGCTTTTCCAAATGAATCAAGTTTGTATCACAGGTATTTAACTTCTTAATGTATCAAAAGAATTTGCTCATAATTTATAAAGAAGTGTCTTTGTAATTAATTACTTATCCAACAGTTGTATGAATATATTGACTCTAGCCAAATAAATGCTATATATAATCTTTCATAACATACAACGGATATTTTCATTTTTTTAATTATGCAAGTTTTAATATTTAAAGTGGTTTGTATCTCTGAGTATTATTATTACTTATTTGGCCATATTCACTCCAGCCTTCTTCAGGTGATTGGAATTTATTTTGTCCATGAACACTTTATTTCTAGTTACACATGCCACAAATATCTCAGTTATTTCTCAACTCTCCAAGTTTTGGTTCACCACTGCTGTGGTCTGGTATTGAACTCACAATTCTTTGGGTCTAGTCATTGGATCTAACCAATGTATTTACTACTGAGCCATGTGACCTTGAGGACATCTGTGTATGAATTTTTATAACTTATAGACATAATGTCTCAGCATCATTTTTTATCAGTGATCATATGACAATTTTTGCTATTATTTCATTTTTTTACCAGAGCTTACATTGCAATTTTTTTGTTGCTATTCATTGCTTTTCTCTAGAACTCCTTATTACCCATTCCCATATTGTATTCATTTTTATGCTTGGTCAGCTCAGAAGATTTTTGTGACCTAGATGATTCCTTAAGTTTTCGTATTTTCCACTGCTGCTCTCTATTATTTCAACCTCATCCCACAAAGGGTGGTGATCTGCCTTTTTTCTCCCTTTCCTGAAGAAGCCCAGTGTGTACAATGGCTGAAATGTTGTGAATATGGCAATGATTATGAGGATAACAGTCCGAATAATGTAAATAATGCAAGTGATCATTGAGTGTGAAATTTTTTTATATATAAAGATTTTTCTAGGGCATCAAACTTTTATTATGGATATTAAAACACAAAATTAAGAAGACAGAAGATAATGATTGACATCGCATTTAAATTTTAAAGATCAAAGTTGACTGGGAAGCAAGAAGTAAGAAGTGGGATAGAAGAAACTCTTAGCATAGAACTTACAGTTACATGTTACCATTTTAACTGTAAAATGATAAGACCTTATTGCAGATCTAGTACTCTACTTAAATTCATAAAATCTAGGTTCAAGAGCAGAAAGTTAAGCAGAACAGTTACCATGAAAATATTTATAGAAAAGGCAGAGGGAAGCTACATTATGGTGGTGTGAAACTGAGATGAGAAAGTCAGGACATTGCAGATTCTTCTTTGGATTTTAAATATATAGCAAGGGCACCAGACTATATGTGGCAGCAATATTCAAAGTAAGGATGAATGGTAGGCTTATAAATATGTAAGATAGATTCTGTGAAGAGAAAGTGTCTAGCTACACACAGTGAACCAATTTTCCCAAATGTAATTGATTCAATATATTTTATCAAAGGAGAGAAAATGAAAGCAACAAGCAAGAAAATCTATCATTTTCATGAATGTTTAATTGTGAAAAAAAATGATATGGTTTTCATTGCTTTAACTTCAGAGTTTGACTGAGGAAATAAAACAAATGTGACCCAGAACTAAAAAAAGTACATTTCCTTCTAAATGAAAATAGGATTATTTACATTATTTACATGTGAACTATAGCCCCCATCTTTGTTGTTGTTAGTACAACATTTCACCATTGTGCCCTCTGTCCTTCATCAGGTGATTGTTGATCTGGGTGATGTTCAGGGAATTTTGAACTGAACACTTTATTTAACCTACAGTTTGGAAAGTTCTCTTTTGGTATTATGGGGTCTGATCAGATAGTATCATGACTGTTGTTATAAAATGAAAACTACATTTCTGGAACACCTTTTTTGGGATAGTGAGCCTTTTCACATACTTTTAGATTTCCTCATTACCTTGAAATCATGTTCCTTTCAAGTGAGATTTTATTTTCAAAGAGGAAAAACTCACAAAGAGTGAGATCTGGAGAATATGTTGGACCTGATGAATGTTGTGCATGGCCAAAAACTGCTGCACAAGCCAAGATCACTGACGAAACCTCTGTGGTGACGACCACACTCTACACACTTTCCTTCCAACAACGGAAGTGAGTGAGAACATTATAAATTATTGTGTATAAATGATTGAGTTCAACGTCAGTCTGTGCCAAATGGCTTTACTCTGTGTACTTTAGCTTGTTTACCATAGTAATAGTCCTAATACTTTTTGATGAGATCTTGTATTATCAGCAACCTCATGACATTTTTTAATTGTGTCTATAGTGCTTCAGTATCAATTTTAGCTTTGGGAAAAAAACTAAAGCTAAATTGTGATTGTGGGAGGGGTCTAACAGATGCTGGGATTATGCTATGTTTTGACAAAAAAAAACTTGCATGAGATGTGCACAAGCTCATTCATTTAGGTCTCACTTCAGACTGAGTAAAAGTAAGGGAGAGTGTCTGTTCATGTATGCACTTTAAGTTCTTTGTGATTGCCAAATTACATCCAGGTTATGTATTCAGCTCTCAGGGTATTCAAAATAGTAACTTATGCTCACTACAGTTCTTTAAATGCTGCATGCAATATATTACTAGGGACAGTTGGTGTTGCCTGGTTGGTGGGTGGAAAATAACTTAAAATATAAGAAGACAGAGAAAATAGTTTTTTTAATATATTTATCCTTACATGACATGACAAATGAAAAAAAAACACAAGGATTATTTACACATGGAAAATAGCTGGAAAAATATTCTGATGCACAAAACAAGACCAGGGTACATAATATTATCTAAATGTGTCTCCCAAGTCGCTATGGCTGCCTCATCCTTCACACTTAAAAAAGTCAACCTGCTCAACAACCAGTCATAAACAGAAAAGGATCTGTTTATCAGCCTCTAGCAAACATGCCAAACTGGTTATGGTCAGGTACTGAACAAAATATTTACTGTAGGCCATCTTAATTCATCAAGACTAAACATGTTAATACCTCCAATCAATTAACATCAAAGCCATGAGAGCCATCCCTGGTCTTGCATAAGTGCATTTGTTTTTTTGTTTTTTTTTAAACAGACAGCCATTAACACACAAAGGGTTACAGAGTGTGGCGGAATTAGGAACAGAAACATTAGTAATGAGTAGAAAGAGAAAAGAGCAATCAGGAGGACAGTAGATAGCAATTGACGTTGCATTTAAATTCTTTGCAGATTAAAATTGGCTGCAAAGCATAGAGCTGGGAGGGAGTTCCACAAGCAAGAAATGTGAGAAAAGAAACTGTCAGCATAGAAGATCTGACTACATGTAGCTAGCTCAATAGTAAATTGATGAGAACTTGCAGCCAATGTAGTATTGCATTTAAATTCATACACTCTAGGTACCATAGCAAAGATCTCATCCGAACAATTACCATGAAAGTATTTATAAAAAAGGCACAGAGTGGCAACCTTATGGTGGTTGGGCAAATGACTGAAGCTGAGCTGCCAGATCAGGACGAATAATATTGATGATTCTTCTTTGGATTTTATCAAGGACCTCCAGGAAAATAGCAGGGGTACCAAAACATATGTGGCAGCAATATTCTAAGCATGGATGAATGGTAGACATATGCAAAATAGATTCCAGAGAGAAAAATTGTCTTGCCTGAAACAGTGAACTGACTTTCTTAGCAGAAAGGTCGTTAATGAAGATTAAAAACAATGTAGGATGAAGGATAGAGCCCTAGGGGACACCTGCATTAGTATGAAAGAATGTAGACAAATAGCCGTTCAGGACAACTTTCATTTCATGATTTGATAGGAACAAATGGATCAGCTCAAAAACGTGCCCAGAGATACTGAACTTTTCAGCTTGTGGAAAAAATCTGAATGTCAAACCCTGTCAAAGGCTTTTGAGATGTCCAATGCTTCAGCCTGAGCTTCACTGTTTTTATCTAATGCATTCTATAATTATCATTAGTTCATGAGCAGTTGATCTGGAGAAATGAAAACTCTATTGCTTGTCTGAGAAAAGGACCTGTAGTGAGAGATGACAAACCAATTCAGCATTGATTAGGATTTTCCCAGAAAGAGGCAGAAGGCTAATAGGTCAATGGCTGGAAGAGTCAGATGGTTCATCAGAGTTCTGAAAACAGGAACAACAGATGGTGACTTTCAGCAAGTAGGAAAGCAGAAGGCAATGAAGCATTTATTATACAGTTTAGAGAGAATAGGAGTCAACATCTCAGGAAATACTTAATATTTATATTATTATGCCATCAGGTCCACATCCTTTGTGGGGATCCAGGTTAGAGATAATAGCAGAAATGTGATCAAAAGAAATTAGCAACTCTGTTGTGGGATGCAATTTCAGATTTCGCCTTTCTTGCCTCTATACCAATTTCTTGGTATTTATCGTTGTTCTTTGCCTTGTATCTGCTTCGTTCTTTCACTTGCCCAGTTGCCCCCACATGTTGTGGCTGAAACATTAAAGTCACCAAACACAAAGGTGTTTTCTATACTGTCAGCTATTGCATCTAATATACTGCAGTCTTGGGAATATGGGGGGTGATAAAGGAAAAAATGAGATAGCTGGCAGAGTTTAGTAGCAAATAATGGAAGCAGATGAAAGAGAAGACACCGGGATTGAGAGACAAATCCTTGGCCATCAGAAGATCATCTCAGATATAAATACCAAGGCCATGCATGTGAATGTTAGAATATTTTTTTTAAAATGGGAAGATTCCGTGGAATCAAGAATTCATTGAGAGCAATGGAAAATTCAAGTTGGTTTCACAGAGGATTTTCTATATATTTTACACACACACACACACACACATATTCCAAATATATATATATATATATATATATATATATATATATATGTGTGTGTGTGTGTGTGTGGTCCTGAATATGTTTATATTTTCCTGGTAATAACCTTTCATTTAAACATGTTTTGTTGAATATGACAAGGAAAATTTTATTAATTTTTTATTTAGATTTTCCTACATTCTTACATTTTTCTGTTTGTGGAGAGTAAGGGAATGCAGAA